ATTAAAAATAGTTTTGGGTAATGGATTGGGGATAACTTCCTAACTTTAAACTGGACCGTGTTGTATGAAATCTCTTTTTCTTCCTCTGAAGGTGGATGTAGACAGCACCTTGGAGATGGAGTTGATGCTTGTCCACCTAACCTTTGGTAAAATGGAACCTGGGTTGTGACATTATTGCATTGTGTATTCTCCTGCCTCCTCACTGTCAGCTGTGGCGTAGGGATTATACAACACAATGTCCTCACTTCAGGTGTTACTGCTATACTAGATGTTACCGGAAATATGGGAGGGAAGAGAAGTAGAGCAGTCCTGCTTTCAGCTCTGTAATCAACAGTTCTGGTTTAGCACTGCCCCCAGCATCTTTCAAACTTCATTTTATAGTCCCCTTGCAGAAGGGAGTGCTCAAGTTGAAACATTTAATAAAAGTTATTAATAAATAAACAAGGCAAGCTACTTCACATGTTTTAGGAGATTGTGGCTCATAAGATTACACTGCAAGGCTATTGAGATCTATTTATGTTGCCTGACCAATATAATATAATCCACAGTTGGCTTTTCTTTCACTAAATTTTGAGAAAAAAGTATTTAGCCCACTTCTTTTCTGATATGTAACACTTCCCATGATCAGTGATCCGTTAGGCTCAAAAATAAGAGTTTACATTTTCCATCATATCCTAACTTTCGTCCCACAACTTTGACTCAAGTATTTCTGTTTGTGTTTGTGTTCTAACATTAAAAGATAATGATTACAAAATTCAAAGTAAGTTATATATTTTTGTTGCAGTTAGTATTTAGTCTCAAGTTTAAAGAAATGTTTTTTTTTTAGTTAATAAATTTAGATCCATTAGAAAGCCTAGCACAGATATGCCTTTTAAATTTCAATCTGTATTGCCAAATACAGGGAGTTGCAGTAGAGCAGGTTGATTGAGTTTGCTGTACTGAGCTGGGATAAATACAGAAGATGGGACTATTGCTGTGCATGCCTTTGAGTTGGGGGCTGCAGGGTGGAGGGGAAGAAAGCAAACAAATCAAATATGCAATTCTGCTGAAGAGCTCCAAGGCCTAGGCAAAATTGTGTTTATGGCGTTAGGACATTAGCAGAAAAGTAAATTGAGGCAATCTGATAGGGAAGCAAAATTCTGTCAGTCAGGCTCAAGATACGGTGCTGTGTCCATATACTTTGTTTACTGTAGGGTTTTATGAGTTGTAACCTGCCCATGCAAGCTGTTAATGAGGCTAAATCTTGCTGCTTGAGGATTGAATTACAGCACACCTCTGGGCTAATGGTTATAAACAGAAAGTCCCATTAGGGCTGCTTTCTGATTCACTCATTTGCATTTTTCCCATTGTACCAAAAACAATGATGAGTAAATAGCTACAAACAAACAATTTACATGGAAATGGATAAAATGTGCCTAATTAGTATTTTGTGCTTGTTTTATTAATGATTGTTTAAGCTAAATAGAACTCTGTTGCAGGACTCTTTACAAGCAATGCCAAGTGTGGCTTATTCAAGTCTCTTACCATACTTTGGGGGGAAAAACATCCCAGCACTGTTGTTGGAGACCTAAAGAAATTCATTCGGTGTATTTTAGGATGCAAGTTAATTGTACTTTTATTGACAACCTCAACTTTTGGGGGATAATACCCGCTGAAAACTCACACTATTGGTTATGCTCAGTGGGGATTTTCATAGTGCATCTTACATTAATTATCATTCATTTCCAATTCACATTTGTCATTTTATAGTAAGAAGGTGCTGATCTGTTTTCCTGTTGCTTTACTGCATTGACAAGATTGCCTGCTTCTCCTTTTCCTGCTCTTCTTTACACCTACAACTCATCCTTTCTTGTGTGCTTGCTTTTGTGGTGTTCATGGTATTACACCAGAACACTAGCATATCTCTCTACAAACACATACAGTGACTTCCCAGGATAATTAAGATCCTAATTTTTTTACAATTTTGAAGAGAACTGAAACTACAGCAAAATGAAACCAGCTTCTCTCCCTTTGAAATAAAAACTCGGCTGTCCATAGTCACAGTCTTGCTGACCTGCAGTGCTGGTCTAAGCCCAAAACTTCTATTTTTCTACCAGTCATTCTTAGTTTTGGCCTTTTTAAGCAAAACTTGGTTGTATGTCATTGTTTTCTTGAGAGCATGGTATTTCTACTATGAAAGTTACACCAAAGGAACTTGTGAGTACATGCATATTGTAGACATTCATTTGAGTACTAATTCTTCATCTTCCAGGAATAACAGAGTACATCATGCTAGGAATGTGGGTGAATAGAAGAAACACCATTTTTTTCAAGGAAAAAAAATCTCCTTTTTTAGATCAAGCAAAGTGTACGTCCTAACAGAGACAATTAAATTCTCTAAAGTTCACTGACAATAAGGAGTAATAAGAATTGAAATGGGAAATATTGTTACTGATTAGTTCTAGTAATAGTAGCTATCAGAAATTATTGGGGGGATTTTTATTTTAATAATTTGGCTAAATTGTTAGTGATCTAAGTTTTCAGTCTAAGAATGTATGAGCAGTCTTTCATTTGCTCAAAAGGTTAATATCTGTAGTGCCACATTCTTGCTTGCATTATTTCATTTCTTCTTAATTGTAGAGCCATTTTGAATGTTACATTCAGTATGAAGCACACTTAAAAGCTGGAAAATTCATGCCAATCAACTAGGGCAGCCAGAGCCACATACCGAGAGATTTACTCTAGTTCTGTGCACTGAACAGCCCCGGTGTAGTGAAGAAGCTACACTGCCTCATCTTTTTGCATGGCAAGGACAAAATCATTGTTGCTCCCAGGGTTTGAACTTAAATTACAAGTAGAACAATTCTCCACTCAACTTCAGCAACAGATGATACACGGGGGGGGGGGGGCGGGGATAAAATAATCTGGAAAATAAAGATTTCAGTTCAGTATATTTTCAACTCACATCAGTAACATTAGTCAGATAATCAAACCCTCTGACATAACTGGAATTTGTTATAGAATTTAGTAAGGAAAGAGGTAAGTGCTAAGTTTAAGAAAGATTCATGTCCTCACCCATTCACTTCTTTTGCTATTAAAATCCAACTTCCAATCATCTTATTGTTTGAACAGAACAGCTCATTGTTGAAACATATGGACCTACTGCTATTGCACATAATTTTGTTCTTAAGGCTCCTATCATTCACATTCTTTCTTGGAGTTCCAAAGAGCATTTAGGCATAATGCTGTCTTTGAAAACAACTCAAAAGCTACAACTGATGTGGAACAAGTGGAACACACACTATTGCAATAAAACACTTATTTTGTAGCTGCTGCACTGGTATTAATAGCTTCCAGAACCAGTTCAACGTGCTAGTTATTACTTACAAAGCCCTGCACAGAACAGTGCGGGGCTTTATCTGGCACCATGTTATACCATATAGAGAGGGCCTTAGGGTCTAATCATCTGAGGGGATTATGGGCCAGAGTGTTGGTCAGAAGGCAGGCTTTCTCAGCAGTGGCCCTGAAATTATGGTATGTGCTGCTCCTTGAGGTGTGCTTAGTCGCCCTGCTCATGGCATTCCAAGAGATGCTGAATGCTCAGCAAGCATTCATATTAATCCAATTGGAACTGGGGGCCCATTTAAGGTGGTTCTCATTTATTTTAACTAGGGAGGGGAGGTGTTATGTCTTGGGAATGTTTTCATTTTACACTGAAGTTTGTTTTTATGTTGAAGTTTTTATTATGAAAACAACCTCGAGTCTGTACAAATATGGGATAAGGGAAATGCCTGAATAATTCTTATACGGCATAAACCAGTATCCTTTAAAATTGTCCCTGCTACTTTTCAGGATTATCTGGACCATTAAACTACTCTGGGATGAAATATAGCACACTCTTTTATTATTTGACTCAGTGATAGTTGAAAGGGGATCGGCTTTGTTTATCTGACGAAGAAGAATGTCTGTTGTGCTTGAGGAAAACTTTGTGAATTTCTGAAATATGCGTATTACATTCTTATGTCAAGTACAATAGTAATTAGCCTTTAGTTAGGGGTAATATTTTTTACTTGATTCTTCCTCCATGGAGTCCAAAGCAGTATTTCAAAGAAATTTTATTAAGTTACAGCAGATACTTAAGTATGTCATTAAATCCCAAGTGAACAGTCTGAAGGCCTGGGATTCCATGTGGTCCCCAAGTATCTTTTTTTGTGGCCCTCAGAGCCTCCTCTGACCACAGTTGCCAAAAATCAGCCAAATGGTTTCCCATCATTTTGAGGTGGTATGGAGACTGAAAAGTAGCTGTACTGCTAGGGAAATTGATTGCACTCTTTATTATGTTTTTATGTTTTTAATAGTTTTTATTGTTTTTAATGTTTTGTAATTATTTTTATTAAGTTTTTGGTTATTTTTTGCATTGGTTTGTGTATGTGTGAGAGTTTGTTTTTAACTTTGTAGGTTAAGTTAATTTAGTAGAACCCTAGCATTTGATATATCCAACTAAAAGAAAATATACATTTTCATTTTCCCAGTCTTTACTTACAAAGCAAATAATTCCTCCTCCCCAAAATAGAAAAACACAGTATTTCAATTTTGCATCAATAGTCAGTCGAGCCCTCTGAGAGAACTGGAGCTTCTTTCTGGTGTTCTGGTAGAAATGTAATTACGGTATTTTCATTTGTATGACTGTATGTGAACGTTCTAACATTAGTGAAACTTAAACATTCCATGCTAAGTTGAAGCCATAAATTCTATAGTGTGTCAGCCTCAGATTTTATAGCTTTAAAATAGTTCATTTTAAAAAATCAGACACAATCTGAGAAATTATTTGGGGGGAGAGGGGGTTGATTCATGGATGGCTCTAAAAAGTGTGATGTTGACATCCAACTGATATGAAGCTTCCTATGTATAATATGGGCCAAGCACCATGCTGTAAACCATTTACTATCATGATGATCAGATTGAGAATGAAATTGCATTTCTGTCAATTACTGAGCTGGCAACTGTTCAATATATCTTAGCAGCAAGATGAAGAGCGGCGTCGGCAGCTGAGAGAGAGAGCTCGTCAGCTAATAGCAGAAGCTCGATCTGGAGTGAAGATGTCAGAACTTTCTAGTTACAATGAAATGGCTGCAGAAAAGTTGAAAGAAAGGTCAAAGGCATCTGGAGGTGAGCTAAGGACTTTGTACCTTATTCCTATGGCAACCCAGAAATCTGAGGAAAACCTTTTCGGAATTTGATTTTATTCAGACTTCAGAGTAATTGTTGTTCGCCAGAAACACATGTCTATACATTTATGCTATACTTCCTAACTTTGCACAGTCAAAGGAATACTCCTCTCCTCTCTGAGCAGAATGTAGTTAAAACATTTGCATTTTCCCTACTCTTTGATGTGAGCATGGGTGAAGTATGTCATAAAATGATTTCTAAAAGGGTAGATCAGTGACCCAAGCTTAGACCCAAACAGGTGCACTAGTGATTCCACTTACCTGTTTATCCCACTCTTTCCTGCCCATCAACTCCCTAAATTTATCTTCACAACAAATTCCATTAGTTTATTATTAAATTTATGGTGATCAGTCATCTTCAGGCTTCTCTAGGATGCAAAACTGGGATATACATATTTAGCAAATAAGTGTATAAAATAATTTTAGGAAATAGTACTTTTAATGTTTTAGTGCAACAACAGTGTTTTGTCTAAATATGATGATGGAACAGAGAACTGAGTCTTTTGCGGAGATTCAGTTCTATGATTCTTTTAAGAATTTTGGAGAGAGAGAATAAAAAGTAGATGCAGTAGTTAATACTAATTGCTTCCATACAGCCATTCATAGCTTGTTCAAAATATCTGAATTCATTGCCAGGGACAAGATCATGCTTGACATAATATTAGCACAGTTTCCAAGAAATTTGACAACCCAAATTAAGCAACCATGTGCGCAAGATATTACTTGATTCTAAATAGGTCAGACCACACCACACCAGTAACTGTGGATTGCCTTACTAGTGTAATTCCCATCTCTTTTGGAATGTTCAATTCTGTTTCTTTTAACATTATCTATGCTGATTTCATCCTGTGTTGTCTTTAGCCTGGTATTTTTTCCTCTGTATTTGTTTTCACATAATTGGATAATAAATAGGTTACAGGCTGTGTTAACTTTCAGTATGGCAATTTTATGCCACCAGCTACACTGCTGAAGAAAGGAAAATATTTATTCTGTTGTTTCTATCTCTGGATGCATCCTTATATTCACTGAATTTGTAAGCACTCTCAGAGATAATCTTTTATTTGGCATGATCATAAAATACCTTGTGAGCCTTTTCTGTCTCATATTGTCTGAATTGTAAGTATCTCCATGAAGTTTACTTTTCATTTTCATTTTCTTAAATAAGAAAAAGGAAAACCTTTTTTGTATTTTTGGAAAGAATGTAAATAATAGTATTCCCCTCAAAATATCACAAATATTTGTGAGACATCTCAAATGTTTTCATCTCAAATGTTTTATACCTTAAAAAAAAATTCTGAGACACTTTTGAAAAATGCATTATCAACAACAGACAAGAAAGATGACTTTGTTTCATCCTTTTCTTCAGTATACATTTTTGTCGGCAAGGCAAATAAGCGATATTCACTAATTTCTTTTCTCTGCAGACTCCTCTCATGCTCCCAAATTTATCTGTTCTGGAGAAGTCTCCAGTTTTCTGGAGCCTACTTCCCTGAGGACCTAAACAGCTAGAGGGAGAAGAGAGAGAATTGCTGAAAATTGCCTTCTTCATATTCTACTGAGAGAAGGCTTTCATTAATTAATTAATTTCTGCCCATTGCCATGATCAGGGATACAGCCCTCCCAACTAATTTCTGACTTTGGCCAATCCCACCTTTCCCCAAAGAAAGGTGGGATTGGCTTTTGTCTGTGCAGGAAAAGGCAGGGAGACATCTCATCATGCTTATGTCTGCACAGAGAAAAGTATGTCATGCAGGAGGAGCAATCTTGTCTTTCTTATCATGCATGGGCTGCCTTTTTCCATGTAAGAAGGGGAAGGGACACATTCCTCCTCTTTTCTTTCTAAAGAGAGAAATCAGGTGATGCTTTGGGACACTAATTTCTGCTAATGGGGTAAAGCTCCTGTTCCTCAACACCCTTCCCCTGACATCTTTCAGTTTGTCAGTCTGTGTCCGAACTTGAATGTGATCTTCAAACCATTCCGTTCCCCAGCGTTGGTTTTAACCACATTTTTTTAGAGAAGCAGCTCTTACCCAACAGATTTCCTGATGGTACTACAGCAGCATCTCATGCATTGCTTTTAGATGGTTCAGTGAGTTAGTCAAGCAGTCCAGGAACAAGCAGCACAGTGGACCATCAGGGATGAGCAAGAACAAAAGGAGTTACCACATATGGATCAGGAGAAAGGACAAAGGGATTTTTTTAGGTTTTTCAAGAGAAGTGGCTTTGATTGGCAGCTGTCTCTTTCCTAGACAATAAGAAACAGTACATTTAGTCAGAAGAAGAACCATCCGTGGGGCAGTTAACAGTTTCCCTGGGTGGTGAGAACCTTCCTGAGAAACAACTTCATATATTTGCAAAGGGAAACCAACTGGGACATGGTTAGAGAGAAACAGGAAATGGAGCAGCTAGACAATATCTTAAGCCTGGTAGGCCACCCAGAGCCAGACTTCTTCATACCCCTACTTTCATAGATCCCAAGCAGCCAACCTAACCTCCAAGTATTCAGTACAAAGTTTCAGGAATAGAGTCTTTCTTCATACAGCTATTTGCAAAAGGCTTTCAAATAATTCAGAATCCAGGATAGCTACATTTCAGATTCTGAGGAAACCTTCACATATGCAGCTTGAATGTGAGAAGCAACCTCCCTGCAGACATTCACAGTTTATGCTTAGGTGGAGAAGGGTCACATACTGTGTCAGGAGCGTGGCTACTCAGCATGGCCTCACTCCCAGTTTATAAACTGCAAGAGCACATGAATTGACAATTGCTGTTCTTTTCTCTATGTTGCTTCTTTGGCTAACCTCGTATTTGGTGCACACTTCTCCAAGTTGTAAGCCTCTGCTTGGATGCCTATTGTTGCAGGATGCAAAGACATGCCAACAAAAATAATCAGAGCTGCCTGCATTATTCTGGACTTCAAGGTTTTGCACAAATTTCTTTAAGGCAAAGAACATTTAGCTCCTGTTTAGATGACCATTTTTTTCAAAGATGAAACCAGAACTGGAAAGCTTTTTTCTGATTTTCTCTCTACAAATTTAGTTTCAGGGCAACCCATCTTATTGATAGCTAGACTTGAAGGTCAACTTTGTGTCCTCAGCAAATTCCCAGATAAAATTTTTGCTTGCTAATAATAGTGAAGTGAGAATGCTCACCAAAATATGTGATTTCAACAATATGCCTCCAAATTTAATTGGTTATCCTGCAAGCATAAGAACTAGGCTCCTGGGTAAATATTATATACTTCATCTGTGTACTCTTTCTTAGGGTTAGTTCCCACTTACCTATCCTAATTCACATTAAAAGAATGTTCCATAGTACAAAAAAAGGGATGGGGGAGATCCCTTCATTTAAAAAAATGTTACAGAATTGGAGTTACTTTTCTATAAGGAAGCACTCTATCGTATGAGACCTTGCCTGCAGTCTGAAGCACATGGTCCATCAGGATTCTTTTAGTCTTTCGTCAAAGACTTCCCATTTCCCATACCAATTTTTTAAAAAAGGATTTGTCCAACTAAGTCTCGTGATTACAGCTCAAGAAATCACAGCTAAGGATAAGACTGAGAGTTTAATGAGGCATTGCAGTGTCAGCCATGTTTTCTTTTCATGTGTCTGCTTCTTGTTTTTACAGCAAAAGGGGCATATGGTCATCTCACCTTTCTATCTTTCATCACTTTAGGTGCTTTTATGCAAGCCCCTCTGATGGCAGATTCAGAGCAGAGGAAAAGTTATTTATATTCTTCCTTTTCTCTGAATGTTCAAGGTAGCCTATGTGAGAGTCCCCACTAATCTTACCCCTGCCACAATCATTCTTTAAGGAAGATTGGTCTGAGTGATTAGCCAAAATTCACCCTGGGAGCTCTGTAGTTGAATAAAAATTTGAGTCTTCCCAAATGCAAATCCAGTGTTGTAACCACTACACTACAGTGGCTTTCTGCCGCAGCGTCTCTTACCCTTGAGGCCTTTTTGTTAGGTTTATTAAAAAATCAGACCTTCCCTCTTTATAATCAGACAGGGCAAATACACATGAATAATCATCCGTGTCTGCATTACATGATTTCCCAGCTCAGAGAAGGCCAGATAACCTCCCCACTAGGGATTCCCATTGCTTCTGCCCCAGTGTCCCATTTTAGCACACCTGTGGTGTGGCTGTTCATTTGTCCTCCTCCCTCATCTAGTTCCTAATGGGCGGAGTCTTCCTGGGGGAAGATTTGTAAGGCAACAATTATAGGTAAAAGGCTTGGAGAGCTGTCCTGTCCACCTACATGTACTACTGAGCCCACACCTCAGGTCTTCACTAGGCCATAAATTATCTGGTCCTTAACTGGCAGCTCAACAATTAACCTAATAGATGCTTTTAGTGTCAGGCTGACTAATTTTCTAATTACAGAGCTAGCTTGAGCCTTTTGCTTTTTGTGGGACCATTAATCATCACGCTTCAGCCTTGTAAGGAGGCTTTTGTGGTGGTCCTGAAAAGGGAGTGGCACTGTAGTTTCCTCTTGTGTCTAGAGACAGATTGGTGTATAGGAATTCACACCTGCCAGGTGGTGATGCATCAAGTGCAAGGTGGCAGTATTAAAACAAACTGGAAAGAATCCATGATGGTTAGTGCTGGTTTCAAGAGTTCCTAAATTTAAAAGTGCCACCTCAGCAAAAGCTCACCTAGTTAACAGGCAGTACTGCTCTAGATGGTGTCTATGAAGCTATTTCCTTCCTTATGTTTTTTGTTCTAAGCAGAAGGCAGCAATACTTCTTCCTGTGTAGAATCATCATGGAAGTGTTCAAAGTCCACATGAACGGTATTGATATTGGATGTGTTCTTCATATCCAATAGTGGTCTTCCATTCCTGGCCACACCAGCACAATGGAAGTTTTTTCATTTTGCTTACAAATAGCAATGCCCCTCTTATTGTGTTTTTCTCCTTGGCCTTGCTATTTAGGAAA